AACCTCTCCCTTAGGCTTCGGCCGAGCTTCCTGATCAGTCTGTAAATCTCCGGATAGCGGTGTCGGGGTCGAAATCTCTGGCGTAGCCGTAAATGCTTCGCGCTGCCATACGACGGTTCAGCACTCGATGTCTGGAAGTATGGTCCTTGTTTAATAAATTAAAAAGTCAAAATCCTGAAATCCTGTTTCCATAGCAAATTAACTTTTAAAAAAATCAATTCAGTGCTGCAGCCAGGTGTCTTGCAGGGTGGGTGCACAGGGAATACATAAGATCCTTGCTTTCCATCTATTTACGAGCTCACAGGACAATCACGCCAAATATCTCAAGAGACCCGTTTCGGATTCTAAATTACCGGTGTGTTTCTTAATTACAGACTCATTTGCACAGGGTTAGCCTYGAGTTTGTGCAGAATATTCACGTGTTCCAGTCAAGGTGCGTCGAGTTTCAAAGTGTTTGTATTGTTGAAGTTGTGCATTCTTTACTTTACCGTTGGTATTTGTGAATATTTAAACACCGATACGAGGCTAACCCTGTGCAAATGAGTCTGTAATCAAGGAACACAGCGGTAATTTGGAACTCGAAAATGGTCTATCGTACCCCGGGAGAGGAGATACTAGGGGTGGTTCACTTCCCTGTTCCAGATTAAACCTTCTAAAAATAGCTTGTTCCAGAGGAGAATCGTAAAGACACACCAATAAGGCTCAGGTCAAACGTGTAACTTCTCATGAGCCGAACTTAATTGTTCGAAATAAGTTCATGTAAAGTTCGACGTTTGACCCAATTAAGTTCGAACGATTGAATTTGGACCGACTAAGTCGATCTTCACGACTAGGTCAGTCGGGAAGAACGACTGTAGGTCGACTTGGGGTCAAACGTCGAACCTCACACGAGCCGATCTAAATGCATAAATCATTTTAAAGTATGTTTTGCTCTCATTTTAATTATTCTTTGCCACCACGCATGCGCCGTTAACAATTTTTTTCGACATGACTGCTGCAGCTCTTGATTTGATTATGGACTGGCATTAATGATGGTGTAACTGCTGACTGCATCTAGACATTAAACAGGACGTTTGGTTTTATCTGTTTTAAGATCGACATATATAAGTTCGACGTTTGACTCAGTCAGTCAAACTTATTATATGAGTCGATCCCAAATACAGTTAGGTTAGGTTCATGCGAAGTTCGACGTTTGACTTGAGCCTAACCTTTTTAAAGAAATTTTTGATTAAATAGGGGTTTACATTAATTCCTTTACTCTAATATAAACATAGACATGGATGTGCACCTGATATTGTAAACTGTTCTCTTTAAAATTTGACAGACTATGTATAATATGTACTCGTTTACATTAGTAGTTAGATGAAGAGTTAATCTGATTTCCCGGCTGATTTCATTTTATAACAAAGAAACAAAGCCTGCGCTTTCAGATGAATTAATATGCACTGCTGCAAGTCTTGGCTCTTCCCTATGAAATGTTTCTGTTTGTTTCTTGGTTGATTTCTCTGCTTTTGTATCGCTCCAATCTCGTATCGTTTGATTTAAGTGAGGACTAGTTACCCAGTGTGCGTCCAAGATCCAGAAGCACTGGGACGAGGAGGGTCTGTTAGGACCAATCTTTTACTAGTCAATGTTATAAATAAGTATGATGTTAGATGTCCAGCTTGCTAATGTCCTCGTAGGCGACCCTATCGATTATGCGTCCTCGCTGAGGGCCCTGTGAAAAGCCAGATAAACAGCATTCAACTTAGTTTGAATCTGAAACAAGGAAAACCATCACAAAAAACCGGAAGGAAACGAGATGGAAATCAAAAAAAGGATAGACAAGGACAATGGGAAAGAAAATCCCACAATCAAAAGGAGTAGACTTGACACCTTGTACCTCTACCACACTCTAGTGCACCCACATGGTTCCCTTATAAAGCACCGTTGGTAAAATAATTGCCTTACGAATATATGCTTAATCCAGGCACAATGGTATAGAGGCTTTTCACCATCATGTGATGCCAGCCATGACAGCAGGCAGGACAATAGTCTTTTTCTTCTGTGAAACTCTCATGTAAATCAGATTAGATCAGATTTAATTGTCCCTGCCTCCTGTCATGGCTGCCATCACGTGATGGTGCAAAGCCTCTATTACCGACACTTCATACGTTCCCTTCGTCGTATACAGCAACTCAGGTTTATGAGAAAGTCATGGTGAATGTCATTTCATTGGCTTCATTTTGCTGCCATCCTGTGATAAAGTATTCAGTCTCACCTCTTTAAGTTCAATCGAAACCGAGAAAGTACGTTCGTCTAGTGACACCATTTTGGCAATTAGACCTCGATGTGGACCATTCACGACAAGAACGCTCTTTCCTGACAAGTAAATAGATTCGGAATTTTGCGTGTTAGATTTTGTAGGGGAATTAAAACTAGAAAACTCTGAGTTAAAAACCATTGAATCAAAAGCTAACGTTTGAAAAGTCGAAAATCCTCGACACCAATTCCATAGCTTAGAAAATGCTTAGTATAAAATCTTCGCCTTAGTGCACCAAAATAACCTAATTCCTTCATGCAGAATCCTAGCATGAATGACAAAAATTCAGTCCAGGTCTATTCATTTGCTCACCCATTTCCCACTGATAGGCAATGAAAGGTAGCTAAAATCTTAACATAAAAATGCCTTACGTCATATGCCTCTTCGAATTCAGCTTGCCCGCTACAGGTCCATTTTATTTGAAGATGAGGATCTGGAACGCTGCTGTCCCCCTCCCCTCCCCCCTAATACGCCTTTTCCGCCCAAGCCTCTTGGATGAACTGAACAGCTACCATTGTTCACTTTTTTCGGAGAAAAATGGAAAGTCTTACACTAAACATTAGTTGCTCCCTTACCTATGGCAGGGATTACGGTTTCCAAGTGCTGCTGATCGATTTTAATGACGTCTCCAGAATCAAGCATCTTGACCACTGCAACGTAACGACCTTCGACACTCTGAGGAATTAATGAAAATGAATGTACTCTTTTTTAGCAGTAATATGAATAACAGGTCTGATTGTAAGACACTGACGCACTAGCAATCAAGGGTGGTAGCGCTAAGTGTACTCGCCTCTCACTTCTGGGGTTTCAGGTTCGATTCCCATGTGAGTAGAGTTCATTCGTCTTCATTTGATCTTACGCCCGATAGGGCGGAAAAACGAAGAGCCCGCTACTTTCACGATTTTTTTTTTTTTTTAACTGAGTTTAATACTCCAAAATTTTAAGCGTTTCATTTGGGTCACTGCTGCACGAAACTTGTGACGAAATTTTGTCGAATTATTAGAATAAATCTACTTATTAGTTTTCACGAAAATGTCAGTTTTTCTGCTGATCAAAATATCACCTCTCCCAAAGTACACGGCTTTATATCTCAAATACGCATTCAATAAATTTTGGTTGCATTTGATATTTTGCTATTTAGCTCCAAAAGAAGGTGTTTACATAATATTGAGCTTAAATACGTAACGCTGTCCTTATGGCGTAAAGCTAAAAACCGCTTTTCCTCCCTGTCTCCTACCCTTGATCCGGATTCTTTAGTTTTCCTCCCTCCGCAAAACCTAACACGCTAAATTCCAATTCGATCTGAGTTAGTCTTTGATTACCTCAGAGGTTGTTTCGGGGTTTCGATAAATTTGAAGCTTTACTGGCTTTAGCCACATACATACACCGTCAAGCATGATTACGAACCAATCAAAAAAAAGCGCGCACTAAAGGTATTGTTACTATGGTAAACAACGTCAATAAAAATCGTTAATACCCACCTTAATCACGCCTTTCTTTTTGTAATATTTCTCGCCAAGCTTTTTGTACATCACTTTTACAATTATTCCCTTCAAAAACATCACAAACAGTTGAATCAGTATCTGAAATGATAAGCCCAAACTACCAAACTCTTCTTCCTTAAGGGCCAGAGCGTCTAGTAGGAAGAGGAAGTGGAGAAGAATTGAAGTGAGAGAGAGGAAGTGGAAAACAGAGCAAGTGGAGGAGAGAGGAAATGGAGGAGAGAGGAAGTGAAAAAGAGAGCAAGTGGAGTAGAGGGGAAGTGGAAAAGAGAGCAAGTGGAGGAGAGGGGAAGTGGAAAATAGGGATTTGGAGAAAGAAAATGGTAGATAGCAAATGTGACAGAGGAATTGGAGGAGAATGGAAGTGTGAGAGAGGAAATGGAGGAGAGGGGAAGTGGAGGAGAAAGGAAGTGGAGGAGAGAGGAAGTGGGAAATAGGGAGTAGGAGAAAGAAAATGGGAGAGAGGAAATGGGACAGAGAATGTGGGACAGAGGAAGTATTACAGAGGAAGTGGAGAAGAAAGGGAGTGTGAGAGAGGGAGTGGGAGAGAGGAAGTGGGACAGAAGAAGTGGGAGAGGAAGTAGGAGAAAGGAGAAACTTTCCTTTACCTTGTGCAACCAATAGTCCTTTTTGCTTATTTTTTCCTTTTTGATTGTTTCCATCTAGAAAATCAAGCAAATGAAGCATCAATATATCTTGCAATATTATCAAAAAGGTATAGTTTATTCATGCATCCTTACCTCAATGATTTCTTCCATGGCTGACTTGCGTTTTCTACTGCAAGGATAGGAAAGAAATAATTACATGAGTTGGACGGGTTTTCCCATGTGTTTTTATATCATCAATTGCTTACTATCAATCTGGTGACTTTTTGGAGTTGACTGGGGGAGGGGGGGGGGGGCAAACAAGCGGTTGACTGAGGGGCAACTAGGGGATGTTAAGTCAAAACATGTCAAAATAAGTCCTCAAACTATTGTCTTTGATTATTTCTACAACACGAAACCAGAAAACAAGAGATTAAAACAACCTCCAAGATTCTACAAGCCATTAAAAATGCAGCTATTACCAGAAGTGATGTCTAGTGATAGCAAGCTATAAATTTTTTCAGTTGAAACAGGGAGATCAGGCAACTGTTTGGTACCTTACATACTGTGATTGATGGTAGTGTACATGCATTTACCTGATTTCCCTGTCATGACTGCTGTCTAGATCAGCTTGTAGCAATGAACAATGGTAATATGGAAATCAGAGTTCACTGGTGACAGAGGAAAATGCTATTTATTAATGACATCTTTACCTTTCTTTTTCCTTTTCTGTTCTTCTGTCTTTAACTTTTTCTTTTGCTGCTAATGCTGCACTTTCAARGGCATTCCTTGTACTTTCCTCTGCAGTGGTTGCACTTTAATGATAATATAGATATATAGATATAGTTTTCATAGTTTACAACACATTTTACTGTAAGATTCTGTGACCTACACAACTTACAGACACCTGGGTTTAAATTGGCTCCTATCAATCAAATAATTATTAACTTAGCCAAAACATTCTAATTTTTAACAAACCTTTTATCTTGTGCATTTCAAAGGTGCAAAGACAGTAAAATGATAGCATAAGCAAATCTTTTATTGAGAGCTTATAGCATAATAATTTACCTTTGCGTTGAAAGGCCACTGGGACCGGGTTGCTCATCAGTTTTCTTTAGACCACCACCAAGGCTAAATGCCACTGATAATGGAAAAACAAAACAAACAAAAAAGTCAGATAAATGCATTCAAACAAAGATTGACCAAGAAGAAGACTGAGTTGACTTATACTCCAGTTTCAAGTTCTCTAGATCTGTTGCTCAGTGTTGCTCCAAGTATTGAATAGAGAATAAGTATGTAAGTGAGTATGGCCTAATACTGCTGGAGCCTGAAATTTCATAATATATACCCCAAGTATCGTTAATGAATCAAAAGGTTCAAGAATACCGGTCTTTTCGAACCAAAGTCTTTTCGATCCAGTTCTTTTCGAACCAGGTCCAGGTCTTTTCGAACCACCTATATACACTTTTGATCCACCTATATACACATTCGATCCACATACATACACATTCGATCCAATATAGTTGTGAAATATTTTATAGATGTTTAGTGTTTTCTTTCAGAAATATTACAGAAATATCACAGAAGAAGTGAATGTAATCCAACTGAGTGAACCAAGTATCGTGTGTGATCGTGTGTGACATGTGTTAGTATTGCTTACGAAGTCAATAAGTTAGCCCCCAAAGTCACTTCCAATGTAAAGTCTTTAGCCAAGAAAAAATGTTTTCTCCTTCAATCAAAATATTTTTGTGTTTGCAAAATTTATGGAATCTGTACCTTTTTCCTCCTCATTTTCCCTTTGTAGTTCAGTGAAGACAGTCTGGGGCTAAGAAAGGGAACAACGAAGAATAATGCAAACTTTATTTAAAATTATGCTCACTGACAACGATAAAGGCAGTCAAAAAAGGAATTACAATCTTGCATATTTAATATAAAATACTAAGAGTATTTTTGAACTACCTCATCTCTTTTTCTTTCTAATTCCCGGTCAATTTGTTTCTGGAGCAGTTTGGCTGAAACAAAATAAAATAAAATAAATACAAAAGAAACAAAAAAGTAATGGATGGAAGGATGGAATGAAGGATTGATGGAAGGATGAATGGAAGGATGAATGGATGGATGGACGAACGGATCGAAGGATGGATAGACTAATGGACGGACTGACAGACTGACGGACGGAYGGACGGACGGATGGATGGACGGACTAATGGATGGATGATGGATGGATGGACAGATAGATTACTCACCTTGCCTATCAGCATCATCTAGCTCCATTTTTTCCTTGGCTTCAAGAGCCTATAAGTAATACAGATTAACATTCAATATTAATGATATCCCTAACCTGGGTTCCAGGAGGCTGTCTCCCTCCAGTGCTTCTGTCATTAATACTGCTTGCTTTTCAGTCGTAGGTTTTGTTATTGTGAAGTGGTCCAGAAGTATTCTTACAATTTATGAAATCTATGACTGGGAAGCACTGGACAGTGAGAGCTTCTTGAAAACAAGCTATGGTAACCATAAATCCCGGGGGGTACTCTTGCCCATTTAGGGTAGGGATGTGCCACTGAGCCCTCTGAACCCTGACCCTGTTCCAGAGTAAAATCGCTGAAATTCATACCCTGTTCCAGAGCAAAATTGCCGAAAACCATAACCTTTTCCGGTAGTGTGAAAATAGATACCCTGTTCCAGAGAGGAGAAAGCGTGATTTCATATACCCTGTCCCAGAGCGAGCGCAAATTTATATATCCTGTTCCAGAGTAGAATCGCTGAATTAACCATACCCTGTTTGGCGGCACGCACCCGTATAGAAAATATAGGGGAGTACCCCCCGGGCCATAAATGTGTTTCCAGTTCAAACCAGCTAATTAGCTAATTAGTTTACCAGTATCAAATCATTTAAAAAGTTTATTATATAATTATTATTATTTTAATTATTATAATCAACAACCACATTGGTTTGRAAAAAAAAATGCTTTAGCAAAGTTTCAGTTCATTCAAAATCAACATTGAGAAAGAAAAGAGACTTTATACAGCTTCAAGTGTGGTACAATAGTAGCTAGTGCAGGTCCTAGTGCACTATTCTTTCAACTCTGAGGTCTTAGAGTGCAGAAAAAAAGAAAAAAACTCTGAGGTATCAGAGTGCAATTTGTTAGATCTCTCCCTTGATTCAAGGGTTTTTCTCTAGGCTATCTGGTTTTCCTCCCTCAACAAAACCCAACATACTAAATTTGAATTCGATTCTTAAGTTACCCCTGCCCTGCCTTTGATTATTCAAGAGGTTGTTTCAGGTTATTAATAAATTTGAATCAAGGAGTATTATTAATATTAGTACAAACCTTTTGTCGTTCAAGAGCTTCAGGGTCTCTGTCTATGTAGGTAATAAACCAACCTTTTTCTGTCTGGTCCACCTTACATAACCCTAGGAAAAGCAATATGCAGTAGGACTATTAACTCTAACTTGTATTATATGTTATTTTAGTAAAAATACACAGGCGATTATATAGAAAATATTGCGCGCTGATTGGTCAAGAAACTCACACTATCACGTGATAATCACCTCGAGTGATAATCCAAAATGGCGGCCAGCCACTTTGTTGCTGTTACCAGAAAAAAATGTCTTTTATCTTCTTTTTTTTCTTTTTTTTGGAAGGATCACCTGTGTATTTATACTAAAGCAATTATTTACATCAGCCTCAGTGAACATCGGAGAATATTTTCCTCACTGCTTGAAGACTGAACGTCTTGGTAAACATTGCCCAATATTCACTCCRCCTTTGGCGGATAATAATTGTTAAAAATGATAGGGAAAAACGGGTGACGTAGTAGTGAGAGCAAGGGCGCCAGGACAGACGGATTGGGTTTTACATATGTGTGATTGCAATAGCCGGTATAAAGTAATCGCAAATAGATCATAGGAACAAATCAAATGGGAAATCGAAAGCAAACCCTGCTAGAGAAAAAGCTGTTTGTACTTAGACAGGAACCCACACAATAATAATCAACATTCCCTAGTGTAGAGAAAGTTAGATGATGATACATATTAACTATATCACAGATCATATATCACATGTCAATCGGTTGGCTACAAATGGGCCCAGATGGGGCATTTATTTTTTTGAGAATCTAAAAATATTTCGGGCATTTATTTTGTTATTGATTTTGAAGATATTTCAGGAACCCACTACCTTACCAATGACTATGACCCTACGAACCACACCATAACACACTTTGTAAATTGAACACAATGATCGTTGGCTAGCTTGACCTCGAGTTCGTATTACGAAGAACGAACCGTGGTTCGGGCTTCGTTTTGCGTTCGCCAAAATCATATCTATCATCGCTCTGTAAACAAAGTGCCCTATGTACTGCCAAAATAATTGGATTATCCGAGCAGACGAGAGCACAAAAGAACCGCTCTTGCTTTCCTACCTCGGTCTATTTTACTGTACTGAAGGTAAATCTGATTAACTTATTAAAGGTGAGTAATCGCTAACAAAGCGACACCGGCGCTACTTGGCACGGATAGTGCAGCGGTAAATACTCAGAGCGTACGTACAGCTGATTCAAACCAGAAAGACCGTTGGTGGACGTGGTAAATATATTCAAATCGTACGGCTGATTCGAACCAGAAAGACCGTTGGATGGAAAGATAAGTGAACAATATTTACTAGTAGTATCCATTTAGAAACAAACATATATCAATTCAATTAGAAATCTACGAATAACTGAAACAATCACACATATGTAAAACCCAATCCGTCTGTCCTGGCGCCCTTGGTGAGAGCGCTCGCCTCTCATCAATGCAACCCGAGTTCAAGTCCCACTGGGTTCGGTGTTATATATGAGTGGAGTTGTTTGTTGGTTCTCTCCTGTGCTTCAAGGGTTTTCCGGGTTCTCCGGTTTTCCTCCCTCCGCAAAAATCAACTCCTAAATTCCAATTTGATCATGGAACAAGGGCTACAGGTTTGTCAGCCACTGGCTATGAAGTGCCACCCTCGTTAAAACAAGGAAGTTTTTTAAAATTAAATTTTGTTATTTGAAAAGTCATTATAAGAACAACATAATGTTCTTTTGTCTTTTTCTGCTGACCCCCCTTCCCCCCCCCCCAAAAAAAACCCCACATAATTATTTAATTGCAGCATCCAAACTTCAGCTCTTCAATCTTTGTTTGAAAATAAATAATGCATTATTTTATACCTTCTTTTCCAAGCCATTTTACAAAATCTGTTAATGTTTCCCACTGGAAAAAAAATGAAAATTTGTCAGCTCCCTTCATACCTCCAATAATGTCCCAATACAAGTACGTTCATATCCAAAAATTTAAATCTTACTTCCTTCTTTTCAAAAATAACTAATGGTTAGTTCTATTAACTAGTAAACTAAAGTAATACAGTGCATTTCACATTACTTTACCATGGCGGGTTGGGAAGTTCATTGGGAAGTTCCCAAGTTGGCTCTTTGAAATTCATAACATCTTGAATTCAGAAGCTCGTTGGAAATGCTTTTCAAACTTAATTTCCAAGTTGGATTTTATGACAATACAAGGTATTTATCTTGTTGACCTGTTTTGATATGAGTTTTGGAACATTTGAGGTTTTTTAAGATACAATTTCAGCAAAATTGTGAAACATATATGTAAACAGTTCACCGTTCACTAAACTTTGTTCACTTGAAGTTCCAAAGTTCGTTGCCAACTTGGGAACTTCTGAACTAACTTCCCAACCCGCCGCGGTAAATTAATGTGAAATGCATTGTATAATCTACCATTTAGTCATCCATCCATTCACCTAATATTCATTCACCCACTCGCCCATCCATCCTTTTGCTCTCCCATATCCATCCATCTCCATCCTTCCTCTGTCTGCCGATGCATCCAGATTTTTCAGTTAAATATATGTAACTATTTAGAAACAACTTGCCTGTGTAGAATTCATGTGTACATGTAATCTGTCACTGATATATTCTTGATATATTTGATTTGCACTTATTCTTTTAGTACCTTGAAAATATGAATGACAATTATAACTATAACTTATAATAAATATTATAGAATGTAGAATCCTAGTATTAAGCCCCCTATGCTTATAGGCCAATTAGTGTGCTAATGCAAATATCCTTGTAGATATAACTCCCCACCCCCCTCCGCCCTCCATCCCCCCCAGTAATAAACCTTCCCAGTTTTAACCC